TGTGTGTGTGTGTGTGTGTGTGTGTGTGTGTGTGTGTGTGTGTGTGTACACATATGCTCTTTAGGCTTAGAGCTGGCTCACTGCTCAGGCTTCTGGGGCATCCCAGACTGGGCTCCAGCAGAGGAACTTCAGGACACTGAGAGACCCCAAAAGAGGGTTCGGACTATGTTTAACTTGAAGCAGCTGGAAGAGTTGGAGAACGTGTTTACAAAGCAGCACAATCTTGTGGGGAAGAAGAGAGCTCAGCTGGCGGCCCAGCTCAACCTTACGGAGAATCAGGTGGGAGCAGGGACTCCTGTGGGACTAGGGCTATACCTGGGGGCCAACGCTGCTCTCCAGAAGGCCCTGGGTGAGGTTGGGGGGAAGACATGGGCCTTCTTCCTCTGTGCCAGGCCACTGGGGGAGACAAGCCCTAATCATTAACACACTCCCTACATGAATGAGGAAAATAGTCCCATTTGAAACCACATTATGGGAACAACACACATTAATCCAGATATTAATCTAGAACTTTGTTTGCATGTTAAAAAAGGAGGTGATGATGAAATTCTGTTCAAGGGACTAAATTTTTTTTTTTAAGATTTTATTTATTTGACAGAGATAGCAAGAGCAGGAACACAAGCAGGGGGAGTAGGAGAGGGAGAAGCAGGCTTCCTGCTGAGCAGGGAGCCCAATGTGGGGCTCGATCCCAGGACCCCAAGATCATGACCTGAGCCAAAGACAGACGCTTAATGACTGAGCCACGCAGGCGCCCCTAAATATTAAAAATAATAAACATTCACTTGACCTCCATACTCTCCTCCAGCCACTACACCATTTTTCTGCTCTTTTCATGGGCAGACTTCCCAAGAACTTGTTATAGCCCCTGTCTCCGTGTACTCATTCCAACATGAATTCTTTCCCTCCCATTCCATCAGAACTTCTCAGGATCTCTTAAGGACCTCCATGTTTGCCAAAGTCAGCAGATGCTTTCCTTTCCTTATCTTACTCCCCACTTAGTACAGTTGACTACTCCTTCTCTTATTGACACGCACTTCTCTTGGCTTCTGGACACTGCATTCTTGGTTTTCCAGCTCTCTGGCCACTTCTTTGTCACCTCTGTTGTAGGGTACTCTTTGTGACCTCCTATTTGTTGTCCACCCCTCCAGCTGATCTCATTTAATCCCATGGTTTTAAATACCATTTATAAGCCAACAACTCCCAGGTTTGTACCTTAGCTCACTCCCTTTTTTTTTTCCCCTCCCCTCTCACATGTACATCTACCTAACTTCTTGAGGTCTCCACTTGGATGTCTTCTGGGTAGGCATTTCAAACTTAACAAGTCTAAACCTCAGTTCTTGACTTTTTTTCTCTCTAGATCTGTTCCTTTCCCTACTCACAGCCCCACCATCCGTCCGGTTGCTCAAAATACCAAGTCATCCTAGATTCCTCCTCTCCCACTTCCAATCCATCACCAAGCCTTGTCACTTGTACTCAAATACAGCTGGGATCGCTTCATTTTTCTCCATTGCCCCTAGTTCATCCCGGTCCCAGCTCTTTTTGGATCATCGCAATAGCCTCCCAGCTGTCTCTCTGCATCCCTTTTCATCCATTCTTCACAAAGCAGCCTGGTACGCAATTCACTTGAGGTGCAAACAGGACTATGTCACATCCCACTTAAGAGCCTCAAAGCTGATACTCCTTACGCATAGCCTCCATGGTCCTGGGTGATCTGGCCCCTGCTGACTTCTACTGTCCCTTTCTTCCCCATCTCACTCTCAGATACCTCAGCCTCTTTTCTGGTCCTCAAACACCCCAAGCTTTCCTACAAGTTGTCTCCTGATCCAGCCTGCTTTTCTCTGTCCGCATTAAACTGGTCTCTTACCCTTTGAGCCTCAGCTTAAGTGCTGGTTCCTCAGGGAGGTTCAAACCCCCATTTGTGTTTTTGTTTCCATGTTTGTTATTTGTCTCTCTCTTATTTGTAAGTTCCATGAGGTCAGGGACCATACCTCTACTGCTCACCCCGTATCACCATCACCTAGGATGGTGCCTAGTACATAATAGGAGCTCAATAAATATTTGGGTGAACAAATGGTGTCTGAAATTCTAGGGAAGGGTGTCTTGGAGGAGATGCTTCTTTTAGAAGAAAGAACAAATGTGGGCCCAGAGAGCAGTGGGCACTGTGGAATAGGGGAAACCGTGGGACTGCTGGTCACATTCTAATCTCTGATCATTGCCTCTGATTGTAGGTGAGGGTCTGGTTCCAAAACCGCAGGGTCAAGTATCAGAAGCAGCAAAGGCTGAAGCTGCCAGCTGTGTCTGCCGTGGCTGCCTTCCAGGATGAGCCCTCCAGGAGCTCTGATGACAGCATCCAGAGAGAAGACACTGAGTCAGGAGTGGACAGCTAAGGACTGGGACAGAGGCTCAACCTAGGCTGTCTGAGCTAGTTCTTCTTGGGGGACTCACTAAAACTGAGCCTTTTTTCTTCATCTGTATAATGGGTGCACTGACAACTTCGTCCTCCCAGAGCCGACAGGATGTCTGTAAAGTTGTTACAGTATGCCAGGCCCAGGCCTAAGTGTTCAGCAAGTGTTAAGGTTTCTAGGACTCACCTAGAGGTGGGTCCTGTGGGTGTGGTGCTTGCACCAGCACTGGCCTCTCCAGGGATTAATCTTTTCCTGGTCTGGCTGTGGAGAAGAGGCCTCTTTGAATGTGTCTGGACCTAGAAGCCTCCTCCCCACCAGAGATGGTGAAGTTGAGAGCAAAGAGGGGGGGAAAGGTAAACCAGTTAGCCTCCTACCTCTCAGAGTTTCCCAAAGTTTTGTTTTGTCTGAACTGTTACCATTTTCAGGAGCTCAGCCCCAGCTGCCTACTTAGGAGCAGACATGCTACCCTGACTACCATCTTTTTCCCTCTAGCTACCCACCTTGGCACCTCTCCATCATTACATAAAATAGAGCACTTTGGCTCTGCCTTTGTCAAGGCAGGCATTTTGTCACAGACTCCTGTATTTCCATGAGACAGTTATAATTTCTCCTTCAAGACCCTAACTCATGGTTCCCTTTCCTTCCCAGGAAGCTGCTCAGTTTCTAAGAAGCCTGCTGATAGCCTACTCCTGTGAGGCCAGTCACCAGCAATTCCAGAGCTGATTTCTTTAATGCTCTACATTCCTGGGCAGGCCTCTGTTGACGGTATTGATAATCTAGAATGGCTTCTGGGTACTGAAGTGAGCTAGTGAAAGAGGCCTGCCCTGCCACCTGGTGGTGGGAGAAGGCACGGTCCCCACTGCTGTCTGCAGTGTTCTGAGGGAGAGAAAGGCAGGGAGCAGAGGTGGCCTTGGAAAAACCACATGCCTCCAAGTGGTGGTAGACCATCCTCTCCCAGACACTAGGCCACGGGCTTGAGGGAGGGCGGGGTCCAGCTTCAAGAGCCCTTCTCTCTCCCAGTCTTCAGGGAAATCCTTCCTAATGCTGGACCCAAAGTCAACTGTTAATCAAAGGGATCCAGCTGCATCTGCCTCTTCCAGCACCTGCCTCTTCAACTGACTCACTTTTTAAAAATAAAACAGTTAAGCTATTCAGCAGTTACTGGACTCTACCCAATCCCCCGATGTCTCCGTGAGACCATAACAGAAGCAGATACATGTCCTTTTTCAAGTAGCACAAAATCCATTGGAGGGCAAGGAAGCAAGGCATGGTGGTCAGGCTTGGCTGTGGGGACAGATGCTAAAAGTCAGTGGTTTCAGCTATGTGGGGTCCTGAATGAACAAGCCCCTCTCCTGTTCCCAGGACAATGTACACATGCACACTCCTGCATACAATTTCAGGGGTCCTCAGACTTGAGGTCCACCGTGTACCCCCTAACACCACCCCTAGGCTGCAAGGTCCCTATGCCCCTGAAGGGTCTGAGAGAAGCACAAGTCCAGCTTGAAGGCCCAAGGAAAGGGGAATTCTTGCACCCGACCGAGTAGGATGGATAGGTGCAGTAAGCTAGTCCCTCCTTTCTGGTAGATCAGAGAGGGTAGAAGTCGGCCGGCTGCTGTCCCCACCCCAACCTCCGCCCTGACACACACACACCCCGCCCCCGCCTCGGCTGGGTCCAAAGAGCGCTTGACTCAAAACGGGCCAATGGGTGGACAGAGACAACAGGGCGCATAAACACGAAGTGGACAAAGATACATCAAAACTATACACACACCCATAGGCTATGATACACAGGTACGTACGAAGACACGAAAAACCGCACAAATGTAAAACGCAAAGGCAGACCCAGCTGCATCCAGCCACCGAACCAATCGACCTAAACATGTAGATTAGATTCGGACTCGCTAGGGCGCAAACCCTCAAAACCTCAGACACACACGCCGGGGGCGGGGCCGGGAAGGGGCGGGGCCTCCTGGGTCGAGGCGGGGTCAAGGGTCAAAAGGCGGAGGCGTGTCCAAGATGGCGGCCTCCATGTGCGACGTGTTCTCCTTCTGCGTGGGCGTGGCGGGCAGGGCCCGGGTCGCCGTGGAAGTCCGCTTCGTAAACAGCTCTAAGGTGAGGCTAAGGCGGACCCGCCGGGAGCCCTCTACCCTGTCTGGCCTTGGAGACAGCCCCACGGGATCCCAGGCCCGAAGCCTAGAAACTCCTCTGCAGCTCGGACTCTGCGGCTCGGTCCCTACTCGCGGCCCGGGGGCTCCCTGTCTGTCCCCGCGCGCAGGCTTCCGGGGAGGTCACGCGGTGGACCGGGGGCTCCGAAGTCTCCGTGCGCGCGCCCCCTTCCCGCGGGACCCGGCGCGGCAGCCGGGAGCCCTGCACCCGTTGCTCCAGGCGGGGCCGGGGCGGGGCCGGGGGGAGGGTGGCGCCGGGCTTTTCGGGCGGTGCTGGGGGACTTTGCTGCGGGGCCGCAGGTATGGTGGGCGGGGATATGCTGAGCAGAGGGAACTGAGGTACAAAAAGGCCTGGGTCCTCAGGGAACTTTCGGAGTGAGATTTGGAAATGGGGTGTGGAGAGAGGCTAGGACCCTTCACGAAAGGCCTCGGAATGGTAAGGAATTTGAAACAGAGCTCGAAGCCCGTGGGAGCATTTGAAGCGTTTAAACAGAGGAGTGACATGATTTTGTCGTTATACTATTTTTGTTTTGTTTTGTTTTGGGTTTTTTTGTCGTTATAGTATTATGTTTTAAAAGTTAATTGTAGAAAAATGCTAAAAATGCATGTAAGGAAAGAGAAGGTAAGAATCACTCATAATCCTATACTTATGCAAATACGTGGACATTAAAATTACAATTTTAGAAATCGCTGTTTGATGCAGCAGTAAATCAACGTCAATAAACCTATTTCTAAATATTTTTAAGAGCTGTTTCAGGGGATGGCCACAGCGCATTCAACCAACTGCTTACTTATGGACTTTTATGTTGTATTTTATTTTTCATCCCTGAGATAAAAGGTCTTGGAGCTCAATTTCTGTGCACACATCCTTTTGTTCTCTCCAGCAGAGTATTTTTTTTCCTAGTTCGCTTTGCCAAATTATATGTGCAAAATGGTATTGCTTTGTTTTCATTTACATTTCTTTGTTTCCTGAGGAGTTTGAATAATTTATCATGTGTAATGGCTGTGTGTATCCCTGGTCCCCCCCACAAGATGTCAGCCTTCTAGTCAGTTATCTGCCTCCTGCTCTCCCCAACCCAAGCTTCCATTGCCTTCTTTCCACTCCAGACACATCTGGAGCATTCCTCTCCTTCCATGGTAAAGCAGCTCCCCTTTATCCTTGGCCTCCTCAGCCGCTCACATCTCTATCTGCACACAGGCCTCTGGTGTTCTTGATCTGCTCATAGTTTGATGGTGTCGGGGTTCCATCACTCCTAGCACGCAGAGATAGTCACCTTCCCATGCACTGCACCCCCTATCTCTCAGTCCCTCCTCTCTTCCCTTCTTCCTCTCACTTCATCCCTTCAGCCCCTCTGCTTGCCCAATTGTCCTGTCCCAGCCTTCTATCAAACCCCACCTCTGGAAGAACGAGCTGGCCAGCCTCTCCATGCCCACATCTGATCTGAAGCTGGAGAAGATCACATACCCACTTAGACATGGTGACAAGATGGATTGTCCCAGGCTTTTTGCATCTGTATTCATCAAGTGAGACTGGGTCTGTAGGTTTTTTCTTTGTGCTATCTTCCTCAGGTTACCACATCAGAATTATGCTTGTTTTTTGGTAAAATGGAGAAGCTTTCCATTTTTTTCTTTGTTACTGAATAGTTTAAATAGCATGAGAATTACTTATTCTTTGGCTTGAGAGAGGTGGCTCATGAACCATATGGACTAGGGGCCTCACATGGTTGTTTGGACTATTTTCTCTATTGCTTCTCTGGATATTGGCAGGAGTGATCTTTCAAAAATTTACCAACTACTGTGCCAGGGACAGGACCAATCAGAACATGATAGTGTCTGACCAAAGAGGATGAATGCCAACCAGAATGCCATACTGGTGTGGGTCAGGCATATATCGGCACTGCTTCTTTCTCTAGGCTTTCTTCCTTTTGAATTCAGTTCTGGTAATTTATATTTTCCTAGAAAATCATCCATTTAGTAAAGCTTTTAAAATTTACTACATAGTCTTAGAATTTTGCACAAACTTTTTTCTAAAACTTATTTTTCAAGTTGGAACTATCTTTGCAAGTTTATGCCCTTTGCATTCAGGTTCACTTCTCTCCAAGCCTCTTGGTAATATTAATGAGAGCTGCTCTTCTTGAAACACTCTTATGTTTGGGGGATGAGTGGTTTTATAAAGGAACCAGCTCTGATTCTGTTCCCTTTGTTTTTGATTACTAAATATTTTCTGCATTTCGTCCTCTGGAAAGAGAAAGACATCGTTGTTTACCCAGCGTTGAGATTTGAGATTGTCCGGGATAATGTGGGTCCATGTTCATCTCCCTTTGTCCCATAGAGGAAGGCTATCTTTTCGTTTTGCTAGATTGGGTCCAGTGCTAAAAGGCATGGAGGTGGGGTTCCAAGAAGACAACCAAGGGTACATCAACGGCTCTGCCCAGGGGTTTTGTTCCAGCTGTCCCACTCTGTGGTTGGAGCTCCCAAAGTTGTTCAGGGTTGAGATCTGTAGCTCATGGGTTGCTCAGGGCCATCCTGGTCTACACATCGCTGCTTCTCTGACTTTGGGAGGTGCTGCTATCTAGCCACAGTGCCAGTGCTAGAAGGAAACAGGGAGCTACCTGAGAGGCCACATGACGGGATGATTTACCGCTGTGTCAATCAATCCATCCCTCCCTCCCTCTCCTTCCTTCCTTCCCCTTTCTTTCTTTCTTTCTTTCTTTCTTTCTTTCTTTCTTTCTTTCTTATTCTCTTTCTTATTCTCTTTCTCTTTCTTTCTTTCTTTCTTTCTTTCTTTCTTTCTTTCTTTCTTTCTTTCTCTTTCTTTCTCTCTCTCTCTTTCTTTCTTTCTTTCTTTTCTTTCTTTTCTTTCTTTTCTTTCTTTCTTTCTCCTTTTGTGACAGTTCAGTGCTGCCAAGGGCAGCACCCCTCTTCTCTAAGTGAACCGTGGGAGTAAGTGCCCCAGAGGGCCAGTAACTGCCTGGGTCCTGAAGCTGTCTCCTGAGTCCCTCTGCACCTCTTCATGTCTTATGTGATGTGTACAGTGCTTTAGACCAGAGCTCCTCAGACTTTAATGTGCATGTGAATCACCTGGGCATCTTGTTAAAATGCACATTCTGCTTCAGCAGGTCTGTTTGAGGGGGGTGGGGAAGGAGGGGCTGAGATTCTGCATTTCTAACAGTCTTCCAGATGATGCCCATGCTGCCCATCCATCACGTCATTTTGAGTAGTAAGGAGCTAAAGCTCATAAGGTACATTCACCTGGGCTGAGGTGCATCCTGGAAACTACCTGGTAGGTATTACGATAATATTTTTCATATACAAAACAGATGCAAAGAAACAATTGGCTCCAAGGTCACAGCAGGTAGTATTAGGGTTGGTGCTAGGATTCGTCATTCCTTTCAGTCATTCCTTTCCCTAACACTGAAAACTGGCTGGGTCCTGTGAGTACCCCACGGACCAGAGAAATACGGCACGTTCTCCCCCAAATTAGGCCTCCCTCTTCTGTGGTACAGGAGCCTTCTGCAACCCTGAGCAGCAGCCTCACTGCCAGGATCTTGGAGGGGCACATGGGTGACACCAAGAAGACTGCCCTGTCGTTACCAGCTCCCGGTACAGGAGCCTCGGCGCTCCTGCGGCCATTCCAAAAATTCTGCTCCTCTGGCTGACAATGGTGGCTCCCTCCCCATCCCAGTCCCTCTGCTCTGAACAGGCTGAAAGAAGTGTGGCTGAAAGTAGGTCAGAGCTGCACTTCCAGAGGAGGCAGTTATGGAGGGTGCTGACTTTGCTCCGTGAACCCTCCCAAGGCAGAGGCCTCTCCTGAGAGGGAGGCGTGTGGGGGGTGATGCTGGGCAGCCCTCCGGGAGCCCTTGGAACTGGGTCCTTTCTCCCCTTATGGCCATCCTGTTCCTTCTGTGCCCTGGTAGGGAAAAGGGCTGTTTGCCACACAGCTGATCCGGAAGGGGGACACCGTCTTTGTAGAACGGCCCGTGGTGGCTGCGCAGTTTCTCTGGAATGCACTTTATCGCTACCGAGGTAAGCACATCTCATCCACTCCTCCGGCTGCTGGGCCCAGCTGCCTTTGTGCATGGAAGACAGTTACATTAGCTGATGGCCCTGGGACTTCAGGTGTTGGGAGAAAAGTTCATCTTCCCTTGGAGAACCGTGCCTGAGAACCATGCTTCTCTCTAGTCTCAAGGCATTTGGGGCTGGGAGTGAGCAGTAGAGGGGCTCTTCCAGCCTGCTCCCTTGGGGGCTGTCGCTCAGGTGGAACTCAGTCTGAGCCAGAGTATAAGGGCCTGGGTGTCATGCTGAAGGGCTCTGTGCCGAAGTGCAGCCCTCCACCAAGAGGAGGCCACGTGGGGTCAGAAGCAAGTAGGATGCCCTTAGCTTTTCCAGCCGCATGCTTTTTTCACACTTTTCTTAAGGCTAGAGACAAACATGAAAGGAGGGTCATTTGGCTGCAGAATGTGGGGAAAGTGCAGTCTGGGGGCTAGGAGGGAAGCCCCACAGACTAAGCCCCACTGGGAAAGGGGGGAGTGCCTGACAGAAGGGGTGGGACTCCAGAGAGGGAAGAAAACCAGTCTGCCTTGGAATGCATGTGAAATCATTCACTCATTCTGTTCTTTAACACAGTCGTTCGTTCACTTACTTCCCAAATGTTCGTTGGGCACCTACTGTGTGCCAGCCACTATTTTTAGCCCTGGGGATACTGCTGCGAACAAGACAAAACATGGCCCCTTCTCTAAAGACACTCACATTGTCCTGTGTGGCTCTCTCCCTCAGCCTGTGATCACTGCCTTCGGGCACTGGAGAAGGCAGAGGAGAATGCCCAGAGGCTGACTGGGAAGCCAGGCCAGGTTCTGCCTCACCCTGAGCTGTGTGCCGTGCGCAAGGACCTCCACCAGAACTGTCCCCAGTGTCAGGTGAGCATCCCTGGGGAGTGCACCTGGAAGGGGGCAGGGGGAGGGGTCTTAGCTGAAGTTCTCTGTGAGGAGACGGGAATGACAACAGACCTGCTCATGGCCCCTGTGAGCCATGATGGAGGGGAAGACACTCAGAAGGCTCCGTTACTGTTCCGTTGTTTTGTCCTTCCTGTCCCAGTCCCACTGTCTAGAAAATAGGTCTGGTGGGAACTTACCCTCTTCCCGGGAGCCTGGCAGGGGCTCTTCCCTCTGCCTGAAAGCTCTCTCCATCCCATAGTTTAACAAGGCTGGGTGCCCCTCTCACCTGGTGCACTGTGTGCCTTCTGCTTTCGTGATGCCACTGAGCTACTGCTCAGAGAGGGAACGCAGTTAGCGGAGGCGAGCACCACTGAGGGACATCTGCGCCTGCCCCCATGGCCAGATCCTAGGGTGCTGACCTCCACCCACTCCACCAGGTGGTGTACTGCAGTGCAGAATGTCGACTGGCAGCTGCTGAGCAATACCATCAGGTCCTGTGCCCAGGGCCCTCCCAGGATGACCCCCTGCATCCTCTCAATAAGCTGCAGGAGGCCTGGAGGTAGGTACCATTTCATTTCTTCTTCCCTTTATCTTCCCTCTCTGCCTGCCTGCCTGAGACCAGCAGACGCAGTCATCTTTCTGAAATTGCCATCCCGCAGGTTTTTCCTCCATCTTAGGGTTAAACAGAGGTCACATCACCTTCAGTGTGAGCCACCAGTCCCACCACCCTCAGCATTTTACACACTCCCAGGAAGAGCCCCATTGCGCCCATAGGGATGTAAAGGCCTAACCACATCCTTGCCAATGACTTCCTCTCTTTGGTTATGAAGGGAGTGGGTTGGAAGGATTCTCTGTAGCAGTCAGACTGGGCTTCCCTGAACGCAGCTACTAGGGAGGGAATTTCTAGGCGAAATCTTTTTCTTTCTCCCCAGGAGTGTTCACTACCCCCCTGAGACGGCAAGCATCATGTTGATGGCCCGGATGGTGGCCACGGTGAAGCAGGTGAGCCCACCCGGCCCTGCCAGGGAGGCCGGTTCTGACTTCATTTGCCCCTTGGCCTCAGTCTCCCCCTCACCTCGAGAGGGAGTATTGCTTGGATGCAGAGCTCCCCCTGGGCTGTGGAAATATCAGTAGCAGCTAACCATAGGTCTGGCAGGAGACTCTGATCTAGGAGAAGGCGTCCTGTGCGGTAGCAGGTCACGCACTCAGCTTCCAGGTGCCACTTTCTCAGGATCGTGCCTCGTGTGTCAAGTGAGAGGAGCCGCTCCAACCCCTTCTATTAACATTGAAGCTCCGCAGCCTCATCCTCCTGTTTCTGCGAGTGGTGTTGAACCGGCTAGCCTGGCCCAGCTGGGGAGATGGTTGGGTGCGGGTTGGGGGGGGGGAGGGAGTCTCCAGGCCGAGGAAGGGTCTATCGAGAAGCTCATGTGTGCTGGTGTTTCCCTGATGGCAGGGGCTTCAGAATCACAGGCTATCCTCCTACCTGGGCACAAGGGGCAGCAAGGAGGCGGGTGTCCCTGAGTCCACGCGTGCACATGTATGCACGCACGGGCATATATGAATGTGACTTTGAAGTATATTTGTTCTGCTGCAGGCCAAGGATAAAGATCGTTGGATCAGGCTCTTCTCCCAGTTCTGTAATAAAACAGCCAATGAGGAGGAGGAAATTGTCCACAAACTCCTGGGGGACAAATTCAAGGTTAGGCTTCTCCTGTGATTCCCCCACCCCCAACAGCCTTGGATGTTCTGTGGCTGCCTGACAGGAACTCCACATTTGGTCCCTTCCCACCACAGGAAGAGGTTAGAGCCTGGGGCCAAAAATCTATTCAGAGGGCCTATATTCCTGCCACTGTTTAACTTTGTGACCTAATATGGACCAAGAGTTGAGAAGTGGGGTGATGACAGAGGAAGGAGAGGTTGGGTGCCCTGACATGGTAAGGCGGAATCTCATGATAGGATAGCAATGGGCAAGTCAGTTATAATGGAAAACAGAGGGCTGGGGGTCCACAGGGTGAGGGAGCAGCGTGAAACAGGAGGATTTTAGCTGCCAATGTGCTGAGTACCCGCTCCCACCCAAAGATAACACGTTCTCACTGAAGACAGCAGACTTCCATGCAGAAGCTGCCTGAAGGTACAGGCAGGGTTTTCAGGGCAGCTGGGGTGGGCCTTCCTACATTCATTCTGAGGAGAGGAGGCGGGGAGTCAAGCTGGTCCGGAGGCCAGGTCAGGGAGCCTGGAAGATGGCGGTGAGGACAGACCTTCCAAGCCACATTGCCTCAGCCCTCCTGGTACAAGCCCTGGAAAATAGGGAGCAGGGGCGCCTGGGTGGCTCAGTCCTGAGGCGTCTGCCTTCAGCTCGGGTCGTGATCCCAGGGTCGTGGGGTCAGGCCCCGCATTGGGCTCCCTCCTCCGCGGGAAGCCTGTTTCTCCCTCTCCCACTCCCCCTGCTTGTGTTCCCTCTCTTGCTGTGTCTCTCTCTGTCAAATAAATAAATAAAATCTTTAAAAAAAAAAAAGGAATTTGGGGTTCACCACCCTGGGTTGGAACAATCCACCAGAGTGCTAAGGTTCTTTGGAAATAAAGACTCTGTGGGCTTCCTTTGCCTTCAGGGAAAGTTCTTCTACAGAGCTGGCCCTTTTTCCTTCCCTCACCTGGTCTTCTGGGCCCTGCCTGGGTGCTAATGGCAAACCCCCACGTCTCTCCCTGCTTCCCCTAAACTAGGGCCAGCTGGAACTTCTGCGGAGACTCTTCACGGAGGCCCTTTATGAGGAGGCGCTTAGCCAGGTAAGTGTGGGGAAGGTGGGACCAATGGCCTTCTACTCATTCCAGTTCTCCAGGAGCAAGCAGGTCAGCACCACCTACTTGGAGAACTGAGCCAGAGCTGACTTGGTATGAAGTTTGGATGGGACTGACTCACAGAAGACTTCCCGAACGGAGAGTTGTATCAGGAAGAAAAGCGAGTGGTTATAACCTGAGCACTCATTTTTCTTTCTCCCCACAGTGGTTCACACCAGATGGATTCCGGTCTCTCTTTGCTCTTGTTGGGACCAATGGCCAAGGAATTGGGACCAGGTTAGGAGAGAATGTTCCAAAGCTATTGAACTTGTCCCTCAGGGCTGGGGTGGGAGATTGACAGAGGAAGGTAGCACACCTCCTTCCAGGATTAGGATGGGGTAAGGTATGATTCTGTGGCCGGAGAGCTGGACTGGACACAGTGGTGGGAGTCAGAAGGACTGAGGTGGTAGAATTTGCTCTTGGGAGCCCTTGGTCTTTTGGGGAAGATGGGCCCCTTCCCTGGAGAAAGACGTGGGCGTAACTTGCCTGGAGGTGGAGAGCCCTGTGAGCCAGGCCTCCTCCTCTCCACCCATGGATGCCTGGGACCCCCAGCTCCCTGAGCCAGTGGGTCCATGCCTGTGACGCTCTGGAGCTGAAGCCTCGGGACCGAGAGCAGCTGGACGCCTTCATTGACCAGCTGTACAAGGACATCGAGGCAGGTTGGTGAGATGGAGCCTTGGTCTCACCCAACCTCGGATGCCCCCCAGTCAGACACACGGTCTTCCCCTGAGGGAGTTCTGACCTAATGGATGGGGAAGATAATCCCTCTGGACCTATAGGAAGCTTCAGATCTATCCACAGGACATGTAGATAAGCCATGACCCTGAGATCCATACAGAGGCTCGATGCTGGGGGTGGGGGTGCTGGATGAGTAGGGTGATATCATGTACAGAAAAGCTCGTGCCTCCAAGAAGTGAGTTCAGGTGAACTGGTAGTGACCAGGTGGCAAGACAGTAGAGCCAGTGCTACCCTCATAAGCCTAGGTTCCTTTGCCCCCCAATAACATCTGCATATTACTGTCTTACAGCAACTGGCGAGTTTCTTAACTGTGAAGGATCTGGCCTCTTTGTGCTTCAGAGCTGCTGTGAGTCCCGGTATTGAGGAGGGGTGGCCCCTTGTAGGCTGATGGAGAGGAGTCTGGGAGCAGGATTAGGTCTGAGCTTCCTTGGGGATTCTCCTGGGCCTTTTCGTGCCATCATTTTCTCATTCATTCATTCACTGGACTTAATATATGTGTATACCTAAAACCTTCTAGTGGGCCAGGCCCTGTGCTAAGGCAGGACACAGAGTTTTGATTATTGCAAACGGAAGCCTTGGTTTTGTACCACCATTGCCTTGTCAGGCTTGGGAGGGGAGCGTTGTGAGGGCCTGGGAGGGCTAGAAGGCGAGTCTCCTTAGCACCTGACAGGGAGGGGCAGAGCCAGCTCACACCATTGTCTTTTCCAGATCTCAGCCTCTCCCACTCTGGTTTCCTCACTGTAAGCCCCCCTCCCAGGCCATGGGGCCACTCTGCCCCTCCCAAACTGGGCTTGCAAAGGGCCTGGCTCAACTGTGGCAGGACTGAGTTCAGTGGTCAGGCATGGCCATTCCTTTCACAGCCCCATCCCTCCCTTTGTGGGATCCTGGAAACAATGGAGAATCAAGTTGCCCAGGGCCAAGGACAGCAGGGGCAGGGATGGCAGGTGGGAGGGGGTGGGAAGAGGGAGTGCATTTGTGCCTGTGGTCTTCAGGAAAGAGCACTGGACGGGGAGTTGGGAAACTTGGGTGCCAGGACCTGCATGGCCCTAGCAGGGGTCAGAGAACAAGGAAGGATGGGAGCCGGTGCTCTGCAAGGCTGTTATTTTTGTTAGTCAACAGTCCTTATGACTTGCCTCTCATGACCCAGGTAACCACAGCTGTGTCCCCAATGCAGAGACCTCCTTCCCAGAAAACAACTTCCTTTTGCATGTCACTGCCTTGGAGGATATCAAGCCAGGAGAGGTGAGGGGGCTAGGAGCTGTAGGGGGTGGGGGGGCGCTGGGAGCAGCAGTGGCTAGAGCCCCAAGTTCTGGCTGTTTGGTTGATCCCCACGTGCCCCAGGGCAGGCATCTTTTTACCCATGATTATGCTCTGGCCCCACCCTACCCCCCAGTTCTTCAAAAAATAACCAGAAAGCCTCAGAGCAGTGATAGACTATATGCCCAGCTTCTTCTTCCTAGCCACCTTTCAATAAATCCACAGCTTCTAAGAAAGCAAGAGATGGCTCTTTGTGGCTTGGGCTATGGTGTATGTGCATGTTTGGGGGCTGTTGGCACAGTGCACAGAGCCTTGGTTGACTCTTCTTCCAGGGCAGGTAGCACCCTGTCAAGATAACCTCTGACCCCAGCCACAGACCTTGGCCATTGACTGCCTGTAACCATGGCCTGAGGCTACCCACAGTCCCCTCTCCGTCTCAGACACAAGTGGTTTGAGCCTCTTGGCGGTGTGCTGAGGGCACAGGGAAATGGATGAGGGCCTGGCTCCTGGGAGGTGGGGCAGCAGGTGGGGAGACCCTATTCCCATGTAAGGGAGAGCACAGGCCATCAGACCCCACCTCTTCTGTGCCCCCCAGGAAATCTGCATCAGCTACTTAGACTGCTGTCAGCGCGAGCGCAGCCGTCACAGCCGCCACAGGATCCTCAGGTGCCGGCCGGGGCTGCGGTGGGCGGCTGGGCGGCTGGGCTCCCGGAGGCTCCATCCTTGTGGCTGCCTGACTTCGCCCTCCCCACCCTCTCCTGTCCCCTGCAGAGAGAACTATCTGTTTGTCTGTTCCTGCCCCAAATGCCTGGCAGAGGCTGATGAGCCCAATGTGACCTCGGAGGAGGAGGAGGAGGATGAAGAGGAGGAGGAAGGAGAGCCAGAAGATGCAGAGCTGGGGGATGAGATGACTGATGTGTGATGTCACCCTGCCTGGAAGGGGCCCCTGCCCCAGACCCTGCAGGAAAAGGGGGCCTCCCCGCAGAGAGGAGGCTCGGAAGGAACTCCCCACTCCCCTTGTCTGCTTTCTCCACACCCCCCTCCCCTGCCCCCCGTTCCAGCTCTGTTTCTGCCGGAGAGTAGGACGGAGGCTGGACCCTAGGCCCTAGGCACTCACCTCCCACCAGACCTCATGCCCTGGACACTGCTGCTGAGTGGCTCAGGCCCTGCGCTGTCCCCAAGCCTCTCAGAACTGCCCCCGCACAACACGCGTGCGCGCACACACACACACTCCAGGTGTGAGCAGCTGCAGCCAAGGTCAGGCCCTAAGAGCGTTTCTTCCCCTTGGCCCCATGGCCATGCTTACCTGTCCACCTGAGGATTCACCCCTTTCAGCCTGCTACAGACGGGATAACAAAAGGGCAATCTGAGGACAGTCTGCCCGCACTGAAGTGAAAGGAGGGGGGTGACCTGCCTCTACCTTCTTCCCCGCCTCCCACCGTTGCAGCTGCCAAGGCAGCTGCCTCCTGCTAGCACTGCTGGGAGAGGCAGGAAGGAGCAACCTGGCCTCCAGAGCACCTTCCCTGAGGCTCTGTGCCAGGGACACTGAACCAAGGGGATACTTCCTTCTGCCCACCTCCTCCCCCCCACTATTTGGACATCTGGGGGAGCGGAGATTAACCCCTTCCCCAGACTCCAGAATCTCTGTACCTTGTGCCTTGCCTCTCAGGCCCTGGCACAGTGGCTGGCCACATGGGGTGTGAAGAGGCCTCTGCCTCCCTCAGGAGGGGCATGTGGGGGATCATCATCCCTTCCTCAACACTCTTTCCCACCGAGGACTCCAGCAGCTTGGCTGACACTGGGGCATGACAGGCCTGCGCTCCTTGTTTGGATGCTCAAAAGGCTTCTCTGGGACCAGTTTAACATAGGACAGTGAGGGGCTCTCCTGGCCTCAATCTCCATCTTTAGGGTCTCCAGAGAGGAACATTGAAGTCTTCCAGAAACCTAGAGGAGCTGGGCTGGATATTCTGACTTAAGCCCTGACTGTGTCACCCTCACTCCCCCCACCCCGCCCCCGATTTGCACCACCCCTCACTCTTGGGTTGGATGCTATGAGAATTAAAGCCCATCACTTGCAATTTCGTCGCCTACCTTCCCTGGGTTGGGGGGGCGCCACATCCCCCTGCTGAGGGATCTCTGGGAGGGCAGGTGCCCAGCCCATAGGCTGTCTTAGATCATGATTGGGTGGCGCCCCACCTGTGCGAGGCCTATCCCGGGTTCTTACTCCTTCACAGCAGTCAGCACCCCCTCCCACCCCCGCCTGCCCACTGTCCTCAATAAAGTGTGAGTGGTGATAGGCCTCTGCGGGAATGCTTTGTGGAGAAGGATTCGACAAGCTGCCTGGGGCCTGCAATAGTCACGTAGGTGGTGCAGAGGCACGTAGTTTTAGACCAGGTGATGGCAGGAGATGGGAGCTGCAGCTCCTCAGTTTGGGCTCCTCTCTGCACTCTGTGCCTACATTCTGCTGCGCAAATGTTTCTAAATGCCAGGAGCAAGGGTCTTTTGCAGTCTAGTGTGGATCCCCAGGAGCCGGCTATTAGAGGAGTCTTCTCGGGACCGACCCATGCCTTCCTGAGTTCTTGAGCAGGAAGCAGGCTGTACTGGGACCCAAGATTAGCAGCAGCCCAAGCACTGGTCCTAAAGGACCTTGGGTAAGTCATTTACCCTCTGTGGGCCTCAGTTTCCTCCCCCTCAAAATAAGGGCATAGGACCAGATGAGTATGAAGGCCCCTCCCACCCATGTGCTCTTATTCTAGGACACAGTTGTGACCCTGATGAGAGGCTTTATTGCTAAAAAATCAGTGAGGGTTTATTAATTCCTCAAACACCAGCAACTGCTGTGAAGTACACTGAGGAGACCCTGGGAAGGGGAAGCTGGAGCAGGTGGGAATGTGACAGGTCACAGGTGGCTCTCAGCCCACCTGCCTTTAGCCCCTTTTGTTCCAGACTCTAGCCAAGAAGCTCTGGGGCCTCTTACTCTTCCCATAGCATGAGATGTTTGGGGGCCCTGAGGAAGGGAAGGCCCATGGCGTGGCTTTTAGCATAGCCAAGGCCTAAGTCTTTTTCCTCTACCCAGCTCCACCTGTCCCCAAGTGCTCTCCCCAAATCCCAAAGAGCAGAATTCCTGGATTTTCCTTTCCCAGCCCAGAGTTGTTTTAAGGCTGGTATGTGGGACCAACTCTTCTACCAGAAGGTCCAGGGTGGTTGCAGCAGCTCAAAGGTGGGGATGCTGGTGACATTGACTGGGATGGAAATGATGGCCCATGGCAGCCCATGCTGTTCCAGGGAGCGGCGGATCATGTAGCTGGGAGGGCATGAAGAGAGGTAGGTGGTGATGGTCACTTTCTCAGCACCCCATCATGCCCCACTGTCCCCATCACTCTGGGAGTTCTAGAGCCCAAGAACTAGGCCCTCCAGCTGGGGCCCTCCAACTTGTTTGGCCCAAGGACTCTTGGCCCTCCAACTGAGGCTTGTGGGAAGGGACTGGTGATTTCCCTTGACCTCCCCAAGTCATGGCACCCAGCCTGGTGCTGATACAGCCAGAGACAAGGAGCCCTCACCCATCTCGGCCGAGCAGGAAGAGGGCAGGGATGTCAGCTGTGCGCTGGGTACTGTCCTGGATCATCTCCACGTAGAAGCTGTCATTGTCAACTGCATTGTCAGAGATGATCACTGCCCGCCCGCCGTGCTCCTGCACCACTCGGGTCTTGGAGAGGAAGGAGCAGCCCCTGGAAGAGGTGATGATGAGAACAAAGGAAAGGCAAGGTGCTAGCTAGCCCTCCTCCAGACTGTCAACACTGGAAGGATGAAAGAAGGACCAAGGAGAATTTCTGATAAATGGCCAAAAGGCATGGATCATCTTAAGACGTTTCTTAAAGACCATTAATAACAGCTATTTCAGAGCACCACCACCAACACTGATCTCAGAATCTACCCTATACCTGCCCTCCTCTGGTGCCTGTCTCTGTCCGCTCCTTACCCTCTCTCCACCAGAGCGATCTGGTCCTGGATGAAGAAACCGTTGCTGAGCTCCCCACAGGCCTCCGAAGGTTCTGCAGGGACAAGGTGAATCTGCTCATACCTTGTGTGCTGAAAGACATTTAGATAAGTCAGAGTGAGGAGACGTGCCAGTTTTAAGACTAGGCTGATAGCCCCATTCTCTTGGTTCCTCACAAAGTGTGAAGGGAACACGGAGTGGTTTCTGTATGCTGGGCACTGAGGTATTTTTTACTAAATTCTCACAAAGGCTTATCTAGTTGTCCCCCTCTACCCTGCCTTTCTATGAGATACGTAGGGGAGTTGCTATGGACCCAGAAAGGGGAAGTAACCTGCCTTAAGTCACATAGTGCAGACAGAGCTAGCCCTTGGTTTCTCACTGTTTCATGACCCCAAAGAAGACAGCTAGTCTCCCTGTCTGGTGCCCAAGTCTGTATTACATCCAGAAGGGTAGCTAGCTGGAAACCCTTTCTCCCTGCACAGCAGCCCCAGGAGGACAGAGCTGCATTCTGCACCCTTACCTGTCCCAGCACTCAAGTATTGGTTGAAGGGAGGAGAGGGTCACCTTACTTAGTCGGATGGAGGTGGAGACGGAGACAAGATCAGAGAGAAAAGGGTCTCCCTGAACTTACAAAGATACCACCAAAGTCCTTGGCAGGTGTGGCTGTGAAGATGTATCGAATGTCTCCAGGACTCAGCACTTGGAAGTACAAATAATCATGGATGCGTAAGCCTGAAAGATAAAGAGTACAGGTGAGAAGCTTCCAGGGAACAAGCTGGTTCAAGTTCAAATCATGGACCCCTTGTCTTCAATGGGGCTGGCTATAGTCTGGCCTCAGGGACCTAGCTTCAGCCAAGTGAGTCCTCCAGGTGGGTGAGACAGATGGTCTCTGCCCGGGGGAGGACAGAGCTGATGCAGAGAGGGTTACTAACCCCAGAGAGATCAGCTGCAGCTACTGCTGCACAGGGGGGCCAGGAAGATGACAGCCTTTGTGTTCTCTCTCTCAGGATGAATCCATCTTTGCTCTGAAGTGGACCTGAGAGTTTCAAGGTGGAGCTGTGGTGGCTTGAGTATAAAACGACTCTCACTAGAACTTCAAAAGTTCACTCCGGTTCCATTGCCATGCCCCCTGTCCAGCCACTATCATTTCTTGTCTTCACAGGTCCAGCTTCTTAACTGGTCTATCTGCCTCCATTCTTGCTCTCTACCGTCCATTCCCCCAAACAACAGCCAGGGGGCTTCTTAAAATATCGTAAAGCAAATATGACGAGGTCACCAGGCTCCAGTACCCTTCAACAACTGCCCTTTGTGCTAAAAATAAAATCTGAAGTTTTAACTATGGCCTGCAGGATCCTCTTCCATCTGGCCCTTGGCTGCTACAAGCTCATCTACTCCTCCCTGGCCTCCTTTCAGTTTCTTCACTTCTCTGAGTCTTCTTGCAACTGTTCCCTCTACGTGGGAGGCCTCTTCCCCTTACCCCACCCCAGCTCAACCCCTTCACCTGGCTCACTCCTACTCATTGGTTAGACCTAGCTGACATGTCACTTCCTAGAGAAACCTTCTGCCCTGTCACTGCTCTCCCCCATGCCCCTTCAAAATCAGCTTTTTCTCCATTGACACTTTCAACATAATTTGTAATTATACAGTATGCGTAATTTTTTTTAATGTCTGTCTCCTCCACTAAGGCAAGAACCACAGTTTTGTAGCTTAGTTTAATGCTGTATCCACATTATGTAACAGAGGCTAGGATATGTGGGTGCTCAATAAAGGTTGTTGAAGGAATGAACAACTATTTTCAGCTCCATTGCACTGAGGAAGAGAATTTTCAGAACAACCAGATTTTTCTGGGGTTTGAGATCTTCTCTTCAGCACCAAAGTTTAATATTTACCTGGATTTGAATCCCTGGTTTCCTTCAGCCCAGAGAGATTGAGGAATGTGGAAGTGTGGAAGCTGCTGCCACAGGTCAAGCAGTCAGTCAACAAACTATCAAGCCGCTACTGTGTGTCAGGGTTAGGACTGCCTGTGGCTTTAGCTGTCCTTGTCTCTTGCCCAAACACAGCCACCATATAGAGTCCCACTGGCTTGGCACTGGACTCTATAGCCTTTTATCCTGGGAGTGGGGACTTCCCATCAGATTCAGATACGTTCCCAAGAAGCCTTAACACTAAACTCCTCCTCCTTCCCACACACATCTTTGCCTGGCCTTTGCATCTGCTGATCTGTGTAAATCAAGTGTGGGTATACCTATGTGCCCATGTGTGTGTATGGGTGTGTATGTTTATGTGCCCCTTCAGGTGCAAGCAAGTTGTGTGTGTACGTGTGTGCCTGTACATGTGAGCCCACGTGTAAGAATATGTGCTCCTGTATGCGTACGTGAGTGCTCACATACGTATCTCCAGCTTGTAATATCTCTAGCTGTCCCTTGTTCCTTCTGGTCGCCCCTTCAGCCATCTGGGTCGGCGCTACTGGGGGCGTGGAGAGGAGTCTTGCTTCGACGTGGGGAGCTGAGGACTGAGTCCAGCGTCAGGCCATGCCCTGCTCATGTCGCTGGGGACCAGCAACACACGCAGTCCAGTCGCCTATCCCCAGACCTGCCCTGCCCCGAACTCGCGGGGTCCCCAAGGTGACCCGTGACTCCCGGCCCAACACGAGAGCGAGCTAGAGGGCCAGCCCCGCCCCGCCCCGCAGCCCCGCCCGTTGCCGCTCACCGTGGGCCGCGACGCACGCGGGGAGCCAGAGCACGAGACAACACCAGCCCGCGGCGCCGGGGACCATCTCCAGGGCCCGGCCCGGCGCCGCGCTTCCTCCAGCCGCCCCACCGCGCTGGCTCGCTGGACTTCAGCCTGACAGCTGCTCCGGCCTCCAGCCCCCAGACCCGCTCTTACCGCTGGTTGGCGGACGGGACCGAGGCCCATGGCTGATTGGCTCTGATGCCTGTTCGTGTAGCTACACTTTCCGCCTCTGCGCCTTAGCCCACTTCCTATTGGTCGAGAGAAGTGGGGCCGAGGGCTGATTGGTCTAAACTCTTAACAGCAACTGCCGCCCCTTCCCCCCCCCCCCCGCCAGCAACCCAGCCCCAGCATTTCTTAGTTTGGATTCGATTGCAGGGCCGCGCGGGCTGGCGGGCGGGCGGGCGGGGGAGGAAAGCGAACTGGAAGTGGGCACCCCTCTGAGGTGGGTGGGTGCCGCTTCAGCCGCGGCAAGTCGGGGCCGTCAGCTGATGCGATCTCGGCCGGATCTTCCCTGCGGCCGCCTAGCA